ATTCAAAGTAAGTCACAGTTTGACAAATTATTGTTAAGATTGACAAGATCTACCTGTAACTATCTGTTAATGACAAAAAACATCATTGCCGCTGTTCCTTTTCATCAAAAAATTGTAGAAGAGAACTTTTTTGAGATCAAAAATTTTCGTAATTTGAAGCAAAGACCGTAATTTTTTTTAAAGTATTCCAATATGCTACCAATTATACATGAACCCATTTTAAAATAGTGCTTAATAACACAGTTGAAATTTGATCTTCAACTGTTAATATCTTCTAGAAATTTTAGAAAAAAAAAATTTTCAATATTTTTCTCGTACTCCCCAAAGAAGCCTCTATCACCGCTTAAAAGGAATGACGCCAATTTTGAATCACCCTGTATGATCTGTTTCATTTTTATTCAAAACTTTTAAGCTACTTTATTAAGATGTCAAACCAAAGAGAAACAATTTTGGCGGTACATGCATTGAAAAAGCGTCCGACGAACCATCAAGACTCTTGTTGGTTGGAAACCTCTTGATTCAAGAGGTTTCATAAGCTCGGCCATACTATTTGCGGTCCAGGAAGTGACAGAAAGCGCACCGTCAGAACCGTCAAGCACCGGGAGCTCGTCCGAGAACGTATCAGGCGAAACCCCAGAGTGTTCATGAGAAAAATCTCACGTGACCTTGGTATTAATCGGGATTCAATCCGCACAATAGCCAGAGCCATCTCAAGCCCTACAAGCTCCAAAAAGTTAAACTCCTCACCGACTACAATAAGCGCGTAAGGCTTGAAAGATACAAACGACTGCTTCCTCGCCACGCTCCCCTTCAGTGGGACAAAATCTTCTTCACGGATGAGAAGCTGTTCACCGTTGAATCATAGATAGAGACAGGCCAACAACCACTAGAACGACAGGAGCTGGTCCGCGGAGGCCCCTGGCACATCGGCCATCGTCGAAGATCGCCAAAATTCCGCGGCCGTTAAGGTTTTGGGCGGAAATTTGCGCCAGTGCCAAGACCTCCCTCGCTTTAGTATAACAGGGGGCCAAGACCATCAAGGACGTCTACCACCGTGACATCCTCGAAGTATTCGTACTTCCATGAGCTCAGCAGCTCTTTGACGATGTGGATTGGACCTTTCAACAGGACTCCGCTCCGGCCCACAAAACGAAAGCGACACAGGACTGGTGCCGGACTCATTTTCCAGATGTCATCTTGTCGGCAGAATGACCGACCTACTCGCCAGATCTCAATCCGATCTCACAGTGTGTGGTCTATTTTGGTAGCCAGGTTCTGTGCTACACGCCACAAAACTTTTGAGCCGCTGAAGTTGTCGCTACGGAATGGGATCGACTATCGCCGGAAGAGGTCGTCGGCAGAGTTTGGTGTTCCTTCCAAGACGCGCAAGGAGGCGGAGGCCGCTTCGAAACCGGCTGAAGATGTAGTCAAAATAGATGTCAAAACAGTTCCTTGTTGATAAGTTTTGTTTTTATTGAAAATTTAATATTCTATGGAGTTTTTGCAAGTGGTCATTTTTCTATTGTCACCCTGTAATTTAAACTAATATAAATCAGATGACATGCATAAATAATAAAATCGCATTAAATCGTTACAACGTTACAACTTTCATAAGTCAGTAGAATTCAACAGACCCACGAAATATCGCAAATCTAAATGTTCCACCATTGCATGCAATACACAGGGTGATTCACGGTCGATGGCGTATTAGACGTTTAAGGAGAACGCGACGCACGATCTATTATTACAGAAAATTAACAGAAATTATCTTATTTTCAATAGAAACTTCCACTATGGCAAGAATGGACCGGATGAAAAAACCTGAATAATAGAGCAAATAATTTTTGAACAACCAGAATTGATGCCTATCTGGTATATGTAGCGTAAAAAATAAATGTGTGTCATATTCAGATAAAGTATGTAGGGTTTCATTTGGTAGTTATTAGAGAGTTATTGGTCGACCAATAAGTTCATGGAGTAATATGGTCTGCGCTATTTTGACACATGCGCATGCGCAAATCAGTCTAAAAAATACGTACTTCAAAATTAAAGTTCTGTTCTGCAGTATTTGTGCCCCGATACTGCACGTTTTATTTTCAACCTTAAACTGGCAGTTGACATTTCTGATGTCCGCTTGCAGGTTATTTCGAATTGACTACTTGTTTGCATATGTAAACATTACGTTTAACTACGTATTAAATATTGTATAACTTATAAAATTGGTTCAAAATCCCACATTTTTGCAGTGTCGTTAAATGCTCAATGCTTGCAGAACGCGATACGGTTTATTTTTTTCGATTTTAGCGAGACATAGAAGAGACAGATCATTTGAATGCTTTGTTTAGTGAACGTCGAAATGCTTGTGTTAAGGCTTTAAAACGCGTGCCTCTAAGTGAAATCTATATGCGAAATGATCATATTTGCTTAGGACATTTCATAACAGGAAAGTATTTGTACAAAAAGTGAAAAAAGGATTTTAAAAAGAGCCAGAATGAAGCCAGAGGTTGGTTGTTATTACATTAAAAGGCATAATGTTTTTAAGCTGCTGTTTTTAGGTACGAGCTGAAGTTGTTTCAGCATAGTACTCAAGAATTTGATAATGTTTCAGAATTTATTGAAGGAATTTGAGCAAAGCAGATTTACGGAGGCTGCTGCATTAGTGAGTCAATTCAAACTGATGTACCTCACTGAAGAATATTCAAGTCGTGTTTTGCAGAATTTAGATTTTTGCAATTCAATAATGTACATCTTGCAAGCAAAAGTTCAAGTTATGGATATAAATGAGAATTATGTTAAAAATAAATGTTTCATCCCTAACGGGTGTAGCTGATATCTCTTGAACAGTGCCCGACTCAGCATCCTTGTAAACTTGCAAATCTTTATAAGCCTTGAGCTGTAATCCATTGCAAAAACTACGGCTTTAAATTAAGCAATTCACCAAATACGTCGTGATGTTGGGGAACTTATAAATAGCAAGCCGTAATGACTAAGGGGGGATCAAATAAGGGTCTAAAACTTCAATTTGTTTATCGTATCTGTTCCTCGTGTCTCCACTAAGCCGTGAATAGTATGCACTTCCACAGTCTGACAACCATCCCTGTTTATAAATATAAGTATTATCAACAATTTAATATTTAAGCTTTTTTTTGCTCCTCCTATGACTGCGGCTTCTAGAATTTCCGTCATTATAACAATTAAGCAGTAAATGATCAAACAGCAACCAAAATCAAATTGGAAAGGTAAATAATACAAATACGCCAACGTAAAATTATTAATAATAAATTGTGTAAGGTTAGGTTACACAATAACACATTTTTAATACCGAAAGCAGTGAACTAGGCATTCCAATAACTATAATTTCGTAGCAATAAGGCTACGTTTTGATTAAAAATAATGATTTTATTTAATATTTCGAAAATCGCTTTAGATAGATATAGGAAGCGTTATGCAAAAATAATCAGATCTATATAGTCAATCTTACCGTGCAATAATATACAGGGTGCCTCATTTAAAATATCAAAGTTGAATTTACTTTTCGGTATAAGCGGCAATCTTGCATTGCTGAAAATATTTTAAGCCGATAGCGCATATCCGATGACTTCGCTATAGAAATTTGCAGATAGATCGGGCACAGCGTTCTCCTTAAACGTCTAATACGCCATACACCGTCAATCAGCCTGCATATGAAAGTGTAAATATATTTTGTGCAATGAAAAGAGGCTTAGTTTTCCATGTTTCAATATACAGTTGGCCTTAATAACTACCAAATGAAACCTTACATAATTTATCTGAATATGACGCACATTTATTTTTCACGCTAAATATACCAGATAGGCATCAATTCTGGTTGTTCAAAAATTATTTGCTCTATTATTGAAGTAATACACTTGAATTTCCTTCATCAGGTCTATTCTTGCCATAGTGGAAGTTTCTATTGAAAATTAGATAATTTCTGTTAACAAGATGACTTGATATTCATATTATTACTAGATAAACCGCAAATCAATATTTTCTTGTAAATGGTAGTATTCGACTTCACTTCAAATGAACGTAGTATAAATAGCACAGAACGTAGTATGTACGAATACCTATTTCCTTCTTAACTACATTTCGCTCAAAACTCAATCTGACATTGCTATTAGATATACATCTCCAGCCACTCTAAGCTATAAATAATTGATCAGGCATATTTCAGGTCATAAATGTCAGACTTCATACACACACGTCTGAAGTTTAATAGTTTGGTGGTGAACTGAATAATATATTTTTAAGTCGTTCTCATTACCTCGAAATCAATTTGAAAAGTGCGACATATAGTAATATGATACAGAACTGCATATTTAGAAACATATTAGTTGAAATTTATACAGAAAATGTTTTATGTTAATTCTTAATACAAATTGCAAAAAGAAAGTCAGGCAAACCCAAAGTCTACAAGCTCTAACTAAACACGAAAGGATTTTGCAAAGAACTAATCAAGATTTGAATGGAAAATTGGCAAAACTCTCCGCATTTCTCAACTCTCCGGAGTTCTCCGCAGCATTTATGTTATTTACTAATGGCCAGAAATCTATAATGTGGCAGCATCTATAAATTGATCAAAATAATCGAAGAAGGCTGAATACCCCAAGCGACGATAATTCTGGTAAAAATCTACATGCAGGATGAAAAAAATAAACATTTGTCGAAATCTAATAGGAAAGATATTCCATATTGCAAAGCTACGGCGAAAAACACGCATAAACTTCAATACCCTAAATGCGTTAAAAAAAAGATGATAATTCAATCGGTCAAATCTGAAAAACATAAATCCAACATTCGCAAGAAATGAAAATAACAATCCTTCTTAAGAGGTACTGGAAAAAATGCACAAATTCGGTAATTGGTAGAATGTCAGTACAGTAGAAAAATTCTAGATTTGGCAGTGGCAAAATGTAAAATTTTGCATAACTAAATCTGAAGTATTAGATAGTACTCAAGTAATCGGAGCATTATTATTTCTGTTATTGTTGAAGTTTAGACAATTATCTCATTTATTTTATGGCATGTCATTCTCCTCCACATTCTTTGTGCAGTTAATTACAGGGTATAATTAAAGCAATTTTCCAAATCCAAACCAGGCACCACATAAAAAGTAGCTAAAATTATGCAATCATTAGGAGTTAATGAAATTAATTGCCTGGCATAGTATAAGTTAATCTGGATGATTATGTATGTGAGCTTTCATTAAAAATTTGGTTGCTTACAGGGATGCATTATCACATCAAGCAATGCACCACCTAAAAGAGGGGCGACAAATGGAAATGACGCAAAAAGTAACGGATTTGCTCAGAACAACATTTTCGTCTCAATTTGTATTTCCGGCATTAGGACATGATGATCCATCTGCCAGAAAGGAATTGGGCAAAATGTGGAGTCAGTGGCTGCCTACCGACGCCATGAGAACATTTGAAATGGGTAAGATTTGCAATGTTTCAAAAATATGTCAGTTTATCCAGAATTACCACAGTTGATTATAATTCAAATATTGTCTATTCGACTTGCTAACAACGGTTTCATCCTAATTTGATCAATGATTAGTGCGTCCAATGCTTAAATAAACATGAACATTTTCTGCATTATTACGAAATTTCCTAGTTTCTGTGTTATCCGTAAACTAGTTTGAAGCAACGAATTTCCACGTTGCATTAGCATGCAAGTGTCGTGTTTTCCATGAGTTCACATTCATATTTGACAAGACATAACAAAAAACCCGAAGTAATAGGTATTTGAAATATTATTCAATTTGAGTTAGTTTGGGTTTAAAAAAATAAATTGTCAATATTTACTCTAAATCGACACTTTAAAGGCTTCCTGGTACACATGACGTAGAAGTAGCCTTCAGCGTACAGGGATTTATCGCAAGCTGCCAATAGTGCAACCAAAGTCATATTAATCATACATTTTTGTGATAAATTTAACCGCTCTGGAAGATTGTGGCTCAGTGAGCATTTTGGAATTAAAAACTAGAATTTATGGTGGATAGTGGTTCGATTTTGCGGTGTGAATTACGTGTAAGCCGGAAAATATACGGAAATTTGTCGGGACGCTTTTTTCAGCGCTTCAATTGCTGGTTTTATTGTGAAGAGAGAATTCAAAAAGCAATAATTCAGTCAATATGTCGATTGATGTTCAGACTTATGGATATGAATTGATTGAAAATTTTCGTGCTTTCTGAATGTGGCATAAAAGTCAAAATAAAAGTGCCAAGAAGTAAACGTTATAAACATTATCTGTACACATTTTTCAAACCAAACCGACTTCAAAAAAATTATGGAAGTTTCTACAGTTTATCAAGACCTAATTCATTAAGAGACAATTTGAACGTATTTTCAAGTAAATTCGATGAATGAAATTTAGTTGCGAACGAAGTCAGTGATGTTAGAAAAATAGTCTTGGATAAGGCAATATGTGAATAAAAGCCAGTAATGTAATTTTCTGGGGACGCAATTCTTTTGGGGTCCTTTGCTAATGGATTAGATCGACGGATGAACTAAGTAACCAAGTTTTCCAGCTAGTTTTAGCTCGAAATTGCCACAGCGTGAAACTAGTTTACGGCAGTTGTTGAAGGTTCAATAGAAGGGAATAATATTTTTCATTGCAGAAACTGAAAACGTACTTGGCTTAAAATACGCCGATGTAACTATTCCAGCGCATTTTCGCAAATTAATTTCTTATGTGAAGCCTATTAAAACAAATTGTTTTCTTTTTCAGGTGGCTACTATATCATAGAGAGGAAAACGCAAAAGCTGCAAATCGTAGTATTGAACACCAATTTGATGAAGCATGACGACGACGATGAAAATTCAAGAAAGCAATGGGAATGGCTGGAAAAAGTCTTGGAAAAATTCAAAAGAAATGAGGAAACGGTAAGCTTTAATCCACTAAACGTAATTCATTAAATATTTCAAATATTATTAGTGAGTCAAAGTTGCCGTTATACTCGTGTTTTAAAAAATAGGCAAATCAAGGCAAAAAAAACAAAATACGAAAATTCGCATCTAGAAATTGTTTCTGATTCATAGTGATTCGTAAATGATTCATTGGTAAACTTTCAGTCATGTATAAATAAATGTAAACGATGAGTTAAATGCTTAAAGTTAATTAGTAATATATTAGTGGTTTAAATAATTGCATTGTTATTGAAAATGCCTGATCGTTGAAGCCTGCGATTCTTCCAAGTTTTTTCGAAATAGTAAAAAAACAACACTTCGCCTTTGGCCATATATGATCAAGCGCCAATTTTCACAAAAGACGTAAAATTTCTTATTGGAAATGCATAAAAATATATAAATCTGGTGATTCATATTAAAAGTGTCAACTTTAAATGCATGCGATGCGAATTGGCAAAATAATTTATCATGCCTATGTACCGGAAACTTTTGAAGAGAAACAAGTTTATTTATTTCTATTGGAATCTGCTCTGAAAATCGTGATCAGAATTAAGAAATCTCGTTCAACCTTGACACGATGTATCAACGAAATTGGCAGTTGTAACTTAATAAAATTCGTTCGGCGTAGCGGTCTTACGCAACTAAAACTTTTCAGCACTCAATGAACGATTCAATTTAGAAACTGGACAGTGATTCAATTGTGATAAGAGAAAGGCTTCTAATTGAGCGCAAAAAAATAATTTTCTTCATCGATTCAGTTACTTTTTGCTTGTCGGTAACTTTTTCTGCTTGGCATCCGTATTTCAACTACACATTAAATAAATTCGATTAAAACGTTTGCTGAGTCATTTCTAATAGTAATGCAACATTAGCTGCCTTTGCAAATAATTTTTTTTCAATTTTCAAGATGGTCAACTTGATATTTGACGAGTCATTTCTCATAATAATGCAGCATTACCTGCCTTTCCAACTGATTTTTTTTTCAATTTTTGAGATGGTTAACCTGATATTTTTATTATACCTTATTTACCTTAAAATGTATATGAAATTTCCGAAAAATTTAAGCATAACTTAGCAAGAAAATATATGAAAATTTATTCTTTTTAAATTTTGTGACATACATAAAAACGATACAAGATGTAGTGTCCTCTATCCTATTACCGGATTGAATTTAAGTGGTAAAATTTAACGGATTTGAGTCGAAAAAGAAATGACACTATAACAAATGAGAGAAAATTTAGGATAATCAGATATAGCCATATTTAAATACAGCCCCAAAATATCAATTTGCTATTGCGGGATTATACAGAAAAAGTATGTATTGCCTCAAATAGATAATTAAATATTTGCTATTAATTACATTTAAATACCGAGTTTTGGCTGCAGGCCGTGTAACCAGTCACGTTAATTCAATTAAATTAATCTAAAGTTTGGATGCACAAATTTATAACATGCCGAATGATATAATCATGTTATTACATTAAATTTTAAATTCCCAGAAATCGTTCAACTTTTCAAAACATGGAAGTTTGTAGTATTAGTTGAACAGACTGAATGAAATTAATTATTTGGATGTCAAAAGAATATTAGCAAGTGATTTTTTAATAGGGGCTGTCATCACGAAATGGACAAAATTAATCATTAAAGATCCAAATTCGTAATTAAATAATTGGATAAATAGAAATGCTGACTATTGTTTTAGATATGTATTCCATGTCCAATCATGTATAATTAATGTTGAGCTTTTATTATAATGGTCTTATGAATTAATTCAATAATCGGCTTTGACGGAATATTATTTATGAAATTCACAAATTGAATAATGCATCAGCTATCAAACTGAGAATGAAATAAACAAAAATAAATATGCAGGAAGTAAAATTGATTAATTATAAATATCTCTTTCCACAAGGACATTTACAGTCACTCAAAGTTACTTACCACTTTAATTGGATTTATAAAGTAATAAACCAAAGTAAACAGTTTTTAGCTGCTTGAATAAGCAAATATTGCTTTGTAAAATGTGCGGATAAAATATAGGATAGTTTTACATATTAGATTTTCAAACGGTTGCATGAGTAAGTTATTAGCTCTAAATATGATAATACCTGAATGAATTCGTTTAATGCATTTACTGCATATTTCATTGAAATATTTATTCTATAAATAGCTTTGAGATTCAAAAACTAATTTTAGCATAAACTGGATAAATGTTTAGTACATTAAAATTGACTTTCGTAACTCGCTTCCATCTGTTTCCACTTCAAATAAATATAGTTAATTGATATGCCGTTTTATTTTTATATTAATAGCACCTTTATTGTCAACTAAATGACCACATGTATTTCATAAAATGGCTGTAAAGTTATGGACAGAAACTAATAGTTCTCCAGCATATAACTTACTAACATTATAGTAACCTCCAATTTATTCGTCTCAAGTCAAAGAACCTGCAAGGGACTAAATTCGGAAATGATAGGATTAACCTTACAGATAAAAAATATAACGCTTTAAAGAAAATGGAATTTTAGTGCAAGAGCTGTAAGTGTTTTAATTAATTTTTAGCATCTAAATAAAAACGTGCAGAAAACTACATATGCGTAACTACACACGCAAAATTGTTCCTTCATTTGTAAACGGCAGCTATGCAGGGTGGTCATTTTCTGAAACTTTGTATGGGTAACTTCCACATTTTTAAAGATAGATAATCCGTTAAATAGACAAAATTGGGCAGAATTCGATTGCCTATTCATCACCGTTTTCAAAATTTAGGTACCCGACTTAGTTCCTGAAATATCCTGAAAAGACAAGAAATCAACACTTTTTGAATTATCACTTATTACGTAAACTGCTTAACTTAGAAATAAAGTTAAAACTGCCCTTAGTACAACTTTTTGCGTTGAATCCAATAAACTAGCACTCGTTATCATGGTCAAATTGATTTACGAGATAAAAAATAAACGTATGGTTTTTTAAATGGCAATCATAGTTGGCTGTGGGCCTTTAAAAATTCTTATTTTCTCCTGAATTTAACGATATAATTGTTTGTATGTTTTTCTCCTTTTGTTGCCGTAAAACTTCAAAAGAAGATCGATATGTGTAGTAGGCTATGGAAACAAGAACAACATTCTCGCACAAAGCACAAAACAATAATGAATCGTTCAAATTAAAAGTTCAAATTGACTTCCGTTTACGTTCAGGCATTTTTTGACATTTTCACATTCAACTCGTGACTTGTGTGAAGGTGCACTATCATGTTGAAAATATGTGAATTTTCCATACGATGCTAACGGAAAACTTTCATTTGGTAAAAAGTGTAAATATCTTTCCATATTTAAATTGTGATTATACAAGAATGGACCAACAATTTTATCAGTTAAAATGCCTCACCAGACGTTCACAAAAAAAAACGTTGATCTCGCCTATTTTCATTTAGATGATGATTTTCATAAGCCCAGTAAACATGATTGTGTCTGTTAATTATTTCACTATTGTCTTGTGCTTTGTGTGATAATATAGTTCTTGTTTCCATAGCCCACTACACATTTTTTATCTTCTTTTGAAGTTTTACTCCAACAAAAGAAGAAAAACACGCAAACAGTTATGTCGTTCGTTAAATTGAGAAAAAATAAGGATTTTAAAAGGCCCACAACCAACTATGGTTACCATTTAAAAAACCTTTATTAATTGGTAATGGATTCATTAAATGGCCACCCTGTATTTGCGGTTTCAAATAGTTTAGTGCCTTTCTAATAATACATTGCTTTACTAGTGTGGAATTTTATTTCAAACCGCAAGTAATTTTACTCCATTCCGAAGTTTGCATTATAAAATTCGTTGAAGGCGCAGTTCGAAGAACAATTAAATAGAATTGGAATCCAGAATATTCCGAAATTCATATTCCAAAAGAGACTTTCTACGACGTCTAAATAATCTAATTTTGTTGCCGACGCGAGCGATGAAGGAAAATGCAAAATAAATTGCAAATTACCCGCAAAATTATATTTGTAAATATACAGCGACGAAATTGAAGCTAATTTTTAGCATTGTTGGTAAATGCTACAGCTCTATACTGTAACTTATTTTCTTACAGATGCATTTAGAACAATCCAGAATATTGAATTTATCAAACTATTTGTAATGATATCATTTAAATCAACTAAATATGTTAGGTCAGGATGTTTCTCAAAAACTGGTAAATATGTTGAATGAGGTTCCAGGCGACGACCGTGTTATTAACGTGTTTTCCAATGACAAATACATTCAAAATTTATGAAAGAATTATAACCATTTAAAATTCTTTAAAAAATCCTCTCCTATTCTGTTTCGTCAAACTCCGTTGATTCCAGACAAATATCACTCAGGCGCAACTGCAATTTATAAATTTACCTTCATTGGAATTTTGCATTTCTCTCAAAACAAATAACCCAAATTAAATTAGCAAAATTAAATAGCTCTAATTTATTCAATTTTAGAGGAAGCACCTATAATTTAATTAGAGACTAACCAGCAATATTTAATATACGTGTTGAAACCCGTGTTCTGAATATCGACGAAAATATTCGCGGTTCAGGGCTTTATTTAATTTTGCGGTAACGCAATTAGTTTGGCGGCGCAATTTTAAACAAATATTTCAACAAAATTAGATTATTCGCAATGGAAATGAAGCAGAAAGATTAAATACAACTTCAAAATGGAATCAAGCAATAATTATTGCTAACTAGTTAACACGGTGATATTAATAAAAATAATAAAATACGTTAATTGACTGTTTGAGCTGCATTTATTAAATCAATCAAAAAATTGGCCTAGATGTATTCATGTTCCTCAAAAAGGATTAGGGAAGACAAACACTATATACTGAGTGATTCAAAACTAACGGATCAGATTTCTAGGAATTGTTTAGTGCAACCATAGAAGGAATTTCCAGTGTTCTTCTAAACATGTGACCCCATAATTCTGAATATTTCCATATT